ATTGTTTTGTCGTGGGATTCTGTTTTCTTCTCAAAGGTTTCTCACATTGAGGGGACCTTCTTCTTGGCAGTGGAACTTTTGGATAAGAGAATATCTAAACTTTGTCACTTCGTAATTGTGTATGGTCCGCAGGAGAGGAACGACAAGCGGGCTTTTCTGTCTGAGCTGAGTGTATTTTGCAACCAGAATCCGGGGGCAGTGTGCATTGGGGGGGATTTTAACATGGTTAGGAACCATGAGGACTACATTGGGGTACGAAGAAGTTCGGATATGATGTTTGAGTTCAATGATTTCATTGATATCAACAATCTGCTTGAGCTACCTTTATGCGGTAGTAAATTTACTTGGAGCCATGGTAGGAATCGGGAGTCTATGTCCCGGATTGATAGGGTATTTATTTCCCAAGATTTCGACTCTCTTCATCCAGATTGCAGCCTTATAGCTGGGAACAGAATTGAGTCCGATCATAATATGTTGATGATAAAATGGGGGGAGGATAATAGGATCCGTAGACCCTGGCGTTTCCAAAATATGTGGTTGGAGGATTCTCGGTTCTTTATTGAGCTCGACAAATGGATGTCCGAGGAGGTTAGGGGTTCGGGTGGTGTTTTCTTCCTTGCTAGGAGATTGTTGCTGGTTAAGTCTAGAGTTAAGGTTTGGAACAAAGAAGTGTTTGGGAACATTGACACTAAGGTGGATGATTTGTCTGGTAAAATTATGGAATTGGATGGGATGGAAGAACAACGACCTCTCCAGGAAGATGAAATATGCAGAAGAGCTCATATGGCATTGGAATTGAGTAGAGCTTTGTATTTGCAAGAAATATGTTGGCGTCAAAAATCGAGAGAAGGGTGGATCAAATTGGGAGAGAGGAACACCGGGTATTTCCACAAAGCTGCAAATTACAGGAAAAAGCTAAATTTCATAAACAGAATCACGATTAACGGGCAGCCGATGGAAGGCAGAGAGGACATTGGGATCGGCATTGTCAACTACTATGAGGGGCTGTTTTGCGAAGCAAATTACCAGCGCCCAATCCTTTCCAGATTAGCGAATGTTGTTCTCGAGGAGGGACAGAGCTGGGCGTTGGTGCAGCCGTTCTCGGAACAGGAAATTTGGTCTAGCCTCAGAGACAGTGATGGTTGCAAAGCTCCTGGTCCCGATGGTTTCACAGTGGAGTTCTTCAAAAAGAGTTGGCAAAGGCTGAAAGGTGACATTCTTAAAGCTTTTCAAGATTTCTTCGATACGGGTTTCTTGCCTAATTGTGTCACTCATTCCTTTGTCTGCCTTGCCCCCAAGAAAGACACGATTGAAGACATAAGAGATCTCAGGCCGATCAACCTGATTGGGAGTATTAATAAACTGATTAGTAAGGTTCTGTCAAAAAGATTAAGCCTGGTTTTGCCGAAGCTTGTTTCTATTAATCAGTTCTCTTCTGTTAGAGGGAGACAGATCTCAGAGGCTGGGCTAATAGCGAATGAACTCGTGGACAGCAGGCGTAGAAGCAGAAAGCCTGGCCTCATGTTCAAACTAGACATAGAAAAGGCTTTCGACAATGTTAATTGGGAATGCTTGTTCAGAATTCTCAATATTTTGGGGTTTCCGGAGAAATGGTCTAGATGGGTGAAAGGCAGTATGTGTTCTTCGTTAATTTCCATTCTTGTAAATGGGGAGGCGAAAGGCTATTTCAAAGCTTCGAAGGGATTGCGACAGGGGGATCCTCTTTCTCCCGGGTTGTTTGTCCTCATCATGGACGTGCTATCTTGGATGCTTAAGTCGGTTCGAGATGCAGGTAAATTTGAAGGTTTCTGTATGGATGAAGTTAGAAAGTCTGGAGAGGTGACCCATTTGCTGTTTGCTGATGATACGCTCATTTTTTGCGACGCTCAGTATGATCAGGTTTTGAATGTTCTTGCTACTATAGTTTGCTTCCAATCGGTGACGGGTCTCAGAATTAACCTCGACAAATCTGTGATGTATACAGTTGGTGATGTGCCTGATCCTAGTTTCTTCGCTTCCATTTTCGGGTGTAAGTGGAGCAATGAACCCCCTAGATATCTGGGTTTCCCTCTAGGTGGTAAACCAAACGAAGCTGCGATGTGGGACCAGGTGATTGCTAAATGTCAGAATAAACTTAATGGGTGGAGGAGTAGGCACCTCTCTTATGGAGCGAAATTGGTCCTTTGCAAGGCTGTTCTTGCAAGTATGCCTACTTATTTATTTTCGCTGTTCAAAGCTCCAGCCTCTGTTATCAGTGATCTGGAAAAAATTCAAAAGCGATTTTTGTGGGATGGGGCTGGTGACTCCAAAAGGATGGCCCTGGTGGATTGGAAAACGTGTAAAGCAGAAGTTAAAGCAGGTGGGTTGGGATTTCATGATCTCAGGAGCTTTAATGATGCTATGCTTGCTAAATGGCTGTGGAGATTCGCGGTCGAAAGAAGTAGCTGGTGGAGGAAGTTGATTGAGATTAAATACCCAAATCCCCGTTCGATTTGGCAGACGGATCGGGCTCGTGTTGGTTTCTCCCATTCTGTGTGGGCTAATATTTCGAAGGCTTACGATTTTTTCTGGAAGTTTGCATCCATGGATCCGGGTAACGGCACCTCTATTTCCTTCTGGTATGATGTATGGATTCCTGGGATGGTGTTGGCTTCTGCCTTTCCTCGCGTCGCCGCCGCTGCTGGTGACCCCAATGCCTGCCTCTCCGACGTGGCCTCTTTCGAGGATGGGACGGTGAGATGGTCTTTTACCCTTAAATATTCTTTGAGAGGGGGGGCTGAGAGGGAGAGAGTTCAATTGTTAAATTTTCTTCAAAATTGTGAGGATTTTATGCTTAATTCTAGTCCTTGTAGGATTATTTGGAATCCTGATAACTACTGCAGGTTTTCTGTGAGATCTTGTTATAAGCAGGTGTCTAAAGACCTGTTCGGCGGCATTCAAGATTTCCCAGCCAAACAGATTTGGAGGACTGTGATTCCCGGGAAAGTGTGTTTCTTTGTGTGGCTTGCTTGCCACAACAGGATCCTCACTCTGGACAACCTAATGAAGCGCGGATGGTCGTTGGCGAGCAGATGCACCCTTTGCTGTGAAGATTGTGAATCTGCGTTTCACATCTTGGTTGAGTGCGACTTCACTAAAGATGTCTGGAGGTTCCTCAGCAGGAATAGAGCGGAGCCGGGATATAGAGGGAGCGATCTCAGCTCGGTGGTCAAAAGTGTTACATTGTCCGAGCCTGTGAACGTCGAAGACTGGTTCGTGAGCTGCATTCTACACGCTGTTTGGTGGGGAGTCTGGATCGAGAGGAACCAACGGATATTTGAAGAGAAGGCGGTGTGCGCTTCCGTGGTGGCTAAGAAAGCGGCAAGACACTCTATGGAATGGTTGGTTGCGCATGGAAAAGTGGAGAAATCGGAAGGTGAGAACTGGTTGAAAGATACCTTGCTGCCTACTTAATCGCCGAGGTTTCGACTCTTTGTTTGGCGGCAGTGTGCTATATGGGGGATCAAGCGGGGGTTTCGGGTTTTGTTGGTTGGTCTGGGCGGGTTTCCTCGTAGCGATCAGTGTGTTGTGATCCTTTGGGATCTGCTGGGTTGTTTTTTGCTTTTCTGAACAGGTTTGGTTTTTCTCTGCTGCGGCAGGGGCTTTGTCATTTGCGTTTGCTGTTCTTTTGTTTCTTGCTGTCTGGGGTCTGTCCTCGTTTCCCCTTTTGTCTGCTCTTTGTGTTTTTGGGCAATGGGTTCAGCGCTTGTGAACCAGGACCTTTTTTGTTTTAGTTTTCTTTTCCCTTCAATTTAATATCACCATTATCAAAAAAAAAAAATTTCATCTTAATTTCTAGAAGTAGGTGACACATCAATCAAATAAACACCGCAAAACTTCCACCGTCAAACAAGTACAATTTTAGAACTTTATGGGTATATGCCCTTTTCAATATAAGGCATTAGTATTCTCCTTTATTTTTATTTATTTTATTTTTTTATATTATTTTGTTTCCATGAAGAATATGAACAAATTGATTTTGTTGCCACACCTTACACATTTATTCTTACGCAATCCTTTCAAATGAGACAAAGATTTACTCTGGATTTTTTTTTTAAATAATAAATTCACAATATGTTTTCATATAAATTAGGAAGAGTATTAGGAAGAAAATTGATAACCAAGTAAAAGACCATTTGTCAAAAAAAGTAAACTAATCCTTTCCCTCCTTCATTCATTCATTCATGTACCTTCCTAACCAAGCGTGGCACCAGATAATGAGAAAAAAGGAACACTATTCCCAAAAATCCCTATCAGATGTGGCGACACGTTTGCGTGAATACTCCACATTTATTTCCCCCACCTCCACCAATTATAACCTCCCCGCTCGCCGCAGCGAAACTTGGAACTTGAAGAAAGAACAAAAGTTTTTATTCCATGCACTCAGCTCCACTCTACAACCCTGCACCCTATAAGATAAGATCCCTCCATACGTCGACACGTGTCCAGTCTCGATCAAAAACCACTCGATCTGGTCGGAACCGGTCGAACCTCTCCCTTTCGCCCAACCACCTGCCAGCCGTTGATTAGTTTTACTTTTCCATTTTGTGTTGAATCATAAATAGATCAATTAATTGGACGGCCATGAGGCGCTAAGGCTTCCAACTAAAAGTTTAAAAAATTAAATTAAATTAAAAAAGCTCGCCAACCACGTGTATGGTGATCAGCGTGGGAGTGGATGAGGATTTTTGTTATGGGCCCCACCTTTTTTTATCCGATTTTCCTGCAATTTCTCGTGACCCTTTGTGGACGAGATGAGAATATTTCCAAAGACTAGGGGTAAGTACGGAAAAAGAATATGCCCACTGCCAGCTCAACGTGACGCGAGACGGTCAAAAAAGGAATTGAAACCCCAAAATCTCGCGGTGGTAAAAATATTTTTGAAATTCTCGCAGTCGTCGTCCTCCTCGTTGGGACACCTATATTAAGGACGGGAGCTCGGCAGCCATTTCCCCAATTCATTCATTCGTGGGGCCTTTCACAGAGGAAGAAAAAAAAGAAGGGGGAAAAAAAAGCCATTGCAGCTTCCAGCGATTCTGAAATCCATTTTCTTTCCCTGATTCAAAACAAAAATAAAAAAGATGGCGTTCAAGAAAACCCTAGCTGAGCGCCTCTTCAAAATCTCCAGAATCTCGACCACCCAGTCGCTCACCAACTGCCGGATCTCGTCCTCCGCCACTGTCCGCAGCCGGATACCGCAGAGCAAGCCCGGCATTGCTCCCGATCCCGGAGACAATGCCGGATTCCGCCGCTTGTTCCACCGCAGGGCTGCGGCGGCGGCGACGGCGGAGCGTCCTTCGGCGAAGCCGTTTCAGGTCGGCGGGGGGGGCGGCCTGATGGAGAAGCTCAGGGCGTTCGACATTGTCCGAGACCGGGTCCGATTGGACGGGCTCGTCCCTCCTCCGCCGGTGGTTGAGGAGTCGGAATCGGAGTCGCCGGCGAAGACCACGACGGCGGCGGCGGACGGGCTGACGGTCGATGACGCGAGAAAGCTGCTGCGTGTGGCGCGATTGGAGATGGTCAAATCGAAGCTGAGAGACACGGGAAGGAACTGGATGCCGCGATCCGAGTTCGTTCGGATCTGCGGTGAAGTTTGTTCGGATCCGGATGAGGCGAGCCGGGTCGCCCGGACGCTGGACGAGTCCGGAACCGTTATCGTCTTGGGAGATGCAGTGTTCCTAAAACCAAAACAGGTAAACAAAAAATCAAAACTCCTTTAATTCCTCCATGAAACGTCTTCTTAATCATTCGGATTAACGACTAAATAAATGCAATTCATAGTTTTGCTCACTAAATTTGTTTTACAGATGTAAAAAATTACCCCCCATTCATTCATTGCCTTGGTCCCTTCTCTGAGAGTTAGGTCCAAAGTAACAAACCAGATAATGAACAGCCGATGCTAATTGCAATTGCTTTTCGTGTTCTTCTTCGTCTTCCCCAATTTGTTTGTTTTTGGCATAAAAAATACCGAAAACTGATATGTTCTCTCTATGTATTTTTGTGTGTTTGTGTTTTTGTGTTTCAACAGGCGAGAAGGAACCCACCCCATAGCTCTGTCTCTCTGTTTCCACAGTGACAAAGATTGATTCTTTTTTCCATCTGATTAATATGGTCTTAATAAGGCTTGATTGGGTTCCCACTTTCGAATCCAATCAAGCCTTACTATAACCATTTTGGATCAACTAATAGCTTGAAAATCGTTTCGGGGTGGGGGATGAAAGGGTTAGAACAGGTTCTATTATAAATATGAAACAGGGGAATATTTGGATAGGGTTATGATTTGGCGAAGATATATAAAATTTGATCGCATAGTATAATCTAGCAGAGTAAGAAACCAAATGGGTCCTTATTAGATTAGGATTTGGTTCCTCTTATGTTCAGACCATGTAGATATCAATCTGGAGAAGGGGATTAAACTAGGATATGGAAAAGGGTTAGGGTTTGAGAGATTGGAAAAGGAAAACAGAGTGTTATTATTTAGAGGTTAGTGGTCTAGTGGATGTGTGTGTTGTTAGGCATATGAATAGTTGAAGAAAAGAACAAGAAAAAAGGGGGTGTTCTAAGATTTCATCTTAGAAAAAGTCTAGGGAAAGAAAGATGGAATTAGGAGGAGTTGGTATCCAATTAGAATCACGATTAATCATTCTTTAGTTCTCTTATTCGTATGCTTTATTATTCTTGATTTCCAGCACTCATCTTGCCTGATTGGCTCTATTCTATGGTGGGATTTAGCCTGAAAAGCCCATATGATCATTTGTTATCCTTGCTTTTCTTTTCTAATTTTCATTTCAAGACACCCTTGGTTATTCATTTACACATTCATCACTTGTTCTTCATAAAAGAAAGAGCAACACAGCACAATAAAAAAAACAGATAAACATTGTCAAGATGCTCATGCTGATATCAAAATGATGATACATGGATGGAGCAAGCCTTTACCCCAACCACATGGGAATTTTCTTTGTTTGTGATCCATTACAGGTAGTGAAAGCCATTGGAGGCCTAATCCCATTCCCAGCAACAGACCCAAACGACCCGAGGAAGAAGGAGCTGGACAGCTTGGAGCAGCGGAAAGCCCTGATCGACCAAAAGGCGATCGCCCAAGTCAGGCGAGAGCTCTGGGGCGGCCTGGGATACCTGGTGATCCAGACCGCCGCCTTCATGAGGCTGACATTCTGGGAGCTATCTTGGGACGTCATGGAGCCCATCTGCTTCTATGTCACTTCAGTGTACGTCATGGCTGGCTATGCGTTCTTCCTCAGGACCTCGAGGGAGCCCACGTTCGAAGGGTTCTTCCAGAGCCGGTTCCTCGCGAAGCAGAGGAAGCTGATGAAGGCTCAGAAGTTCGATCTCGATAGGTACAACGAGCTCCGAAAGATCTGTTACCCGTTTACCGACGAAGAAGAGGTTGAAAGTCCGGGTATCTCGTTCTCGAGCAGTCGTCCTGAGTTTGATGGTAAAGTTGGGAAAGTCTGTTGATCTTGAAGGGGCGGGTATGTGGGGTTTGTGTTTTTCTTTTTCTTTTTTACTTAACAAAAGAAATTGAAAAGAAGAAGAAAGAAAGAAAGAAACTAACAGCTATTACTGTTATGAAACAGAACGAAACCACAATTTTGTGACGACCTAGAATCCCTTTTTTCCCACCCTTTCAAAACCAACCTCCTTCCTACCTGACATGATGACCCTTTAGAATGTAGTTTGCGGGAAACCCTGTAACAAAGTGAAGAGTGTTTTCTTTTCTTATTGATGAAATATATGATCAGAAGCAAAGCTTTCTTGATGGCAAAATATCATTGTCAGACTATCAGTGTTCCTTGCCCCCCAAGTTTCTTTTCTTGTTCGTGTGTGGACATAAACCCTACTTTGATTTGGCATCCGGACAAGAAGCCAAAACAGGAAAACGATCAGTTCCAAACAACTGGGAGGCATGAGTCTTGAAAATGACTTGGTTTGGAAAGAAATTGGGATGAATGGATTTCACACCCACAAACTGGTCATGTGAATACTTAATCAAAGAGTTTATTTTTATCGAACCCATCAAGCCAGTAAAACTAGTTGGGTTCCAGTTAAAACGAAAATTAAAAACATGTCAATTATCTCTCCGAGTTGGAAAATCCCAATAAATTACAAAATTCGAACAATTAATTTGTGATTTCAATCGCACAAATGTATAGTCTTTTTTCTCCTTATTAATGGGGTTTTCCCCTGTATGCAGCGTAGGGCTATATGGTTGATTGTTATTGTTATACAACTAGTAATGTTTGTAGACAAAAAGCCAGCTTTGTACAACCATTTGCCTGATCGCAATCCTTTCTTTCCCCTGTTAATTAATTACACTTTACTTGAAACCCATCCATTCCATCCATTTCCTATAACAGCCTGTGCAGTCGTAGATAATGGATGAAGTTCTCTGGTTGGTGTGCTACAGCTTTCTTTCATTTCGGCGTCCCCCCAATTTCATTGGATCAAGTTTGACCACATCTATATAATAAATGGATTCAATGCTTTTCACTATTTGTTTTTCTCTCTCTTGGAATAGTTTTCCATTAGCCGGAAAAAATCCAAAAGTACCACTGTTTAAAAAAAAAATTCCAAAAATACCACCCAACCCCAAAAAATTCCAAAAATACCACCCTTTTTCAAAAACCGCTACCCCACCCAGCGGTTTGGTCGAAAACCGCTTGTCGGGGGCGCGGTTTTGGACCAAACCGCGGGCCTAGGGGGCGGTTATAAAAAAAAAAAAAATTTGGACCAAAACCGCTGGGTGGGGTGGCGGTTTGGCCTAAAACCGCCACCCCAACCAGCGGTTTGGTCCAAAAGTTCGGTCGAAACTTCAAACGAACGTAACTTTGCACTCGGGTATCCGATTGTAGCGATTTTTTTTTCATTTCGCATAACTTTTCAAGATCTACAACTTTTACAAGGATGAAATTTTCAAAACAGGAACTATTTGTGGATATACGGGACCTTGAGAATAACTTTACCTTTACTTTTCAGAAATCCATGTACATTTTGAAATTATGATTATATTAAAAGTTGTAGATCTTGAAAAGTTATGCGGAATAAAAAACAAATTCATGACATTCGGATTTTGTAGCACAAAGTTATGGCCGCCCAAAGTTTGACGAAATAAAAAAAAAGGTCGTTCGGGGTGGCAAATGACGTTTTTTCGAGACGAAGACGGAACCCGACTGTTTGAAACTTGCAAGATCTCAAAAAGTTATTCGGATTCAAAAAATGGAGGCCGCAAACTTTTTGAGATCTTGCAAGCCGCAAACCGCCGAGTCTCGCCTTTCGTCAAACTTTGGGCGGCCATAACTTTGTGCTCAAAACTCCGAATGTTATGAACTTTTTTTTTATTCCGCATAACTTTTCAAGATCTACAACTTTTAATATAATCATAATTTCAAAATGTACATGGATTTATGAAAAGTAAAGGTAAAGTTATTCTCAAGGTCCCGTATATCCACAAATAGTTCCTGTTTTGAAAATTTCATTCCCGTAAAAGTTGTAGATCTTGAAAAGTTATGCGAAATGAAAAAAAAAATCGCTACGATCGGATACCCGAGTGCAAAGTTACGTTCGTTTGAAGTTTCGACCGAATTTTTGGACCAAACCGCTGGTTGGGGTGGCGGTTTTGGGCCAAACCGCCACCCCACCCAGCGGTTTTGGTCCAATTTTTTTTTTTTTTATAACCGCCCCCTAGGCCCGCGGTTTGGTCCAAAACCGCGCCCCCGACAAGCGGTTTTCGACCAAACCGCTGCGTGGGGTGGCGGTTTTTGAAAAAGGGTGGTATTTTTGGAATTTTTTGGGGTTGGGTGGTATTTTTGGAATTTTTTTTTTAAACCGTGGTACTTTTGGATTTTTTCCTGGGGAATGTGGAAAACTTGGAACATAGCTGGGGAAGGTTAATTGTTGGCTGGCTGTGTAGGTGGGCTAGTTGGCCTTTGTGTCCATCCAAAACAGCCTTCCAACTTCTTGCTTTTCCCCATAGGCCCATATGGCCTCTTTCCCTGTCATCACAAATACCAACTAGCTCTCTTCAATTCTTACTTTCTTAGGGTAGCAAATGGTTAGTCGATTATCAATTTTAATTTTTAACTGAATTGATAATGAGTCGCTAATCGAATTAATAATGATGGTTATTGATTAATCGATAATTTTTAAGTGGTTTGATTTTGATTAACTATATTTCAATTATTGGTTAATTGATAACAAAAATTGATGATAGCCTACTAGTATAACCACGCAATTTGTAACTTATTTGTGTGATATGTCGCTCTGAAATCAAGCTCGTTCACTCACACCATGAGTCAACCAAACTGTGCACTATGTCAAGAACTAGTTGGTCCCAATAACTCGAGTTGTTGGGAGAGGCTCAATCGTGGATCATATAACATTCACTAACACAGCCCATCAAACGAAAGCCAGTCACCTCATAAGGGCTTTCGTTTGCACAGTGGTTCCATAATAAATCTTATACCACACACTAACACGCCCCCCAAACGAAAGCCACTCACAAGAACTTGAAGTTGCACAGGTCCGAATACCATGTACTTAACAAATGGGGGTTATCAGGAATCGAACACAAGACCTCTCGGTCATAGAAGACTCTAATACCATGTCATAAACCAACTGGTCCCAATAACTCGAATTATTGGGAGAATGTTCTGCTAGATCTTATACCACTCTCTAACACGCCCCCTCAAACGAAAGCCAACCCACGAGGTTAAAGTTTGCACAGGCGATCACCATATCTTGTACTTTAATCACCTGTTAGTATTGGGGGTCGTGGAGATTTGAATACACGACCACCTAGTCAAACCAGCTCTGATACCATGTCACAAACCAGTTGGTTACAATAACTCGAGTTATTGCAAGAGGTTCAATCGTGGATCATATACCATTACTAACACACTGAAAATTTGTAACAATAATAAAAGATTGTTCGTTCTCCAAACGAGTTTCTTCGTTATTGCAGACCTTATCTACTTGGTTACTTGGTCCACAAAAAAAATCATGCACTCAAAGCAGAGGGAACGTGGGATGCGGCAATCCAAGTTCAATGGCCCATTCGCTGCATGCATATATATATTCATTCCTTTGACTTTAACCGAGAAGAAGGGGAACCCTCCAGGAAGCTGGGACATTTTTTTTTTTTGGGCGGTGATATAGATTAGATAAGGGTTTGTTTGCTGCCAAACAAACAAACAAAGCCCTACATCTACATGTAATATATAATGAGAGGGCAAGGTCAAAAGATTGAAAACAGAGCCTCTTAAATTAAGGGCTGCTGAACTGACAGTGTGTTGGGGATTCCTAGTTTCCTGCCCTACTAGAGGACAGATCTTATCTATCGCCATCCACCAGAAGGACAATCAGTGCCTGATCTTTCTCGGGATGCATATAAGAACCGTTGGGCTCCCTTCATAGACCAAGTTTTGGTTGAAGGCAGGCCCAAACACAAAGCCCAAAGGCACCAGTCAAGACTCAAGAGCCAAGAACTAGACGAAAACCTAATATCCGCTAGCCCAATGTGGGCTGCTGGTCAATCGCCGGGTCATTTGATTATTAGATATGGAGTTCGATCATTCACCATGAAATAGAACTCACTTTATATAGTCTCATTTATGTTCTAATAAAAGTGTAAAACACTAAAAAATTACAATGTATTTTCCAATTCTCGATCCATAATGGTTGTAGGTGTAATCAATGCACGGAAACACTCGGATTTTTTAGAGGAGGTGGTCTATTCCATCGATATGCCGATATATGAAGAGCTTGAGTGTGCCTGAATTGTTGTCTTTTGTCGGAAAACTATCTAAAATTTGATCTAGGTGGATGATTAAGAAGGCAATGATGCTGGATGACTAAATTTGACCAGTTTCGGTAATTCGAGTGACCAAAATTGATATTAATTTTTTCTAGTGACTAAACATGACACAATTTAATAATCTCAGTGACCATCTGTAATTTTTCTTGTTATTGCCGAAGTATGAAAATGACCAACAATTAGAAGAAAAGGAAGGATAAACAATCTCACTCACATAGTTTAATCCACCAATAATGTATCTTTTTTCTGGAAAAAGAGAAACAAATCTCAATCACAGAAACATTTGTGAATAGGTGAAATGTTCATTTATTGAAAACCGACAAGAAATAATTATTTATCTTATCTTCCCCCAACAATAATTTCTTGTGATTGAAAGTGTCAAATTATAGATCCTGCCAATGCATGAACAAAAAAAAAAAAACAGTCCGCAAATTTTGAATTGGCAACCTATGACTATAATGTAACATTCCATCTTTTCTAATTAAGATATCGTTTGTTTTGTTAATTTTCGCATGATTTACTTTTGGGCAAATCATGCTAAGCTTTTAGAAGGTTATTCATCTTTATTATGTTCTACATTGAGTACGTTTAATTATATTATTATTATTATTATTATTATTGTAACAGTGTTCTACAAGGACACGGATAGTTAGGGTATCATCTTCACCCTATAAATATCGTAGCTTGTAAAGAACAAGACATTCAAGCCGACCATAATACTCAAATTTGAGAGAGAGATCCTCTCCGTGGAATAGTGTCAATTTGACAATACCATATTAAAAGAGCTTGTGTGTTTTTTTAGTTCTTAATTATGGCTTGGTAATTTAACAAGTTTTTATTATTGGAATTCTTTCATTTCGCCTCAAACGCGCGTTTTGTAAATTACAAAATGAACGTTTGTTATAAATTATAGATCTTCCCAACGACGTAGAATTTGGGAAAAGTGTTGCATATAATTTATCAATTTTGTTGAGAGCCGAGATTGCCCACGAAAACAAAACTCTAATAA